ATTTCTCCAGATGCTACTCTGAGCCTGGATAACAGTGTTATTCAAAATTCAACAGTTAAACTCTACCAGTCTTACACGGTGACTCTGAAATTTTCATCTCATCTACACTGAACTACCTGTAACCTGCTCTTCTCAGATCTGTCACTCTTTCAAAATAAAATATTCCAACTAGTCCAAAATGCAGCCACTAGAATTCTTATTTGAGCCAAAACATTTGAGTACACAACACCAATTTTGTTCTCACTCCACTGGTTCCCTGTTTAATCCAGGTCAGATTACAAACTGCTACCTATTACCTACACAACTGCCTATTTGGCAGAACTCCTCAAACTTTATAGTACCACACGTACACTAAGGTCAGGCTACTCATTATTCCAAAGATTATTAAGCAATCTATTTTCTTAGAAAACTCTGATGTGTTCCAATTTTGTGTAGCACTTTACCTGTCCCTCTTCTACACGGACTCAAACATCACCTACTCATCTTATTGTGCAACTGCTGCCTTGTTCTGCTTCATGTTCCCTGTCTACAGCTTTCTGTCAATAAACAATAAAAGCTGTTTTTGTTGTTGAAGTTGTTGTTGTTAATATTGTTAGTGTCTCTTTCTTTCATTACCTACGCCAAGTTGGGGTTGTATTTTTTTTTTATGATGTGCACTGAGACACTCATTGTAAATCAGGAGTGTGCATTTCCTATGACAGTACAAATAATAGTTACAACTGATAAAAATGTGAAGGAATACTTGGCCAGGCTGGTGATTAGCACTTTCACCATGTACTGTATATGAGAAACCTCACTTTGCTCCATCTAATACACAGTGACGTGCTTAAGACCAATTCCAAAGATACACATTGGATAATGTCACAAGGTAAAATGGCAGCGTTTAAGCTCCCTTTGTTACTCCATTTAATTCCTGTAAAATCAGCCTCGAAGGCACGACTCCACCACTTGTCTTATAACTCATTATCATAATTACAGCTTTCATTTCAGCTGGACTACACATGAAAAATTAATAACATTCCTCTTTAATTATTTTTGAAAAGGAATGGTGACACAAAACTGTAGCACATTCAGTTACGCTGTCACAGACAATTTTTAGGGTCGTGTTGAAGCAACAATGTTGAATTCATATTTAATTACCCTGTTAATGTTTATGTGAACCCCGATCTCCAGTGTCAAAGTCCTATGCTTTGTACAGCCATCGTCCAACCATGATCACCTCTCTGCTTTAATATATAAACATAATGTCTAGGAGACATCTAAAGCATCAACTGGTTGACCATTAATTATCATGGGCTGAGTTACAAAGTCCTGTTTAGAGCACGTACCAGAATTTACAAATGCAACTATGGTTCTGTGAATTCCTGCACGACTGCCAGTCGGGAAGGAAACAGAACCAGATACGCTCCAGTGCATTCTGCTGACACCAACTCTGGAAAGCAGCCATGTGGTTCAGGTACACCAGCATCCAAATACACTACCCTTACACAAACAGCCAGCAGTCTGGACTAACCTGGCTTTCAATGGATTCACCTTGGAGCTTCTACTTTTTTCATTTGGTTCTGATTCCATGTGATCAGAAACATTTAAGGATTAGTGAATATCATAGTCCAATAAGCATCACTGCCTATCATAAAAATAATTGTTGTAGCATGTGTCATGCCACTAAGCTAATGAAAATCATTAATTTGGCAACTACTGGTGGTTATATATTTAACGAAGCAGTAAGGGTGTTTAAAATACTAAGAATTTGTCGGTTTCTCATTCAGTGCATCTCACCATGCTGGTGTACTGCCTCTTGGCAATCAAAGTCATCAAGAAAGCAATAAGTGGGTCACCCTATAGTGAAGACTAAAGAAGTTACAGAGCATTAACAGTAAAATCACTGACATAGATGAGAACGGAATACTTAAGTAGCTAAAGAAATCTAATTCCGTTAGCAGAATGTTTTCTAGGACTGTTTTAGTAAAAACCCTGTTTGGTAACTGACAGAGGATTTCATCCTTCTTTAATAGAGCACTGACAAACAAGGTGAGCCAAAGTGGTAATCCACCAAAAATCTTTTTTTTCTATCCACCAATCAACCTCTGCAAACTTGACAAGACAAAGTTGGTAGTTTAAGTTAACTGAAAATTGGCTCCAGTCATCTTGAATTCATATTTTCATCTCTGTACATGAATCACATTCATTCAGTAGAAACATATCAATCCACTGCTGAAGCATTAACTTCTTGTTCTGCCATGTTCTTTTTCTCACTGGGTGATATAAAAAAAGTCCTCATGCCTTCATAAAATGCTAAACACTGCACACATCGCCTGTTTTCTTGATGTAGTCCTTTGAGAGCACATGTGGTCATGAGCTACATACAGTTAACTGCAGGGGATACAAAGTGAAAAGCAAAAAATATTTGACCATATTTTGACAAATTGGGTAAAATATGGAACACGGGCATAGACATGGTGAATAAGTGGATTATGTTGCAGGTGTGGTGTGACAGGTTTCTATGGGTGTTGTCATATCTTCCACCATGAAAACTTTGAAATCACTGAAAATCCAAACAACTGGGATAAAGTTCAAGTTGACCACAGATCCTGTTCTTCATCAAGGTGAACGCTACTCCACTACTACTAATACCCATCTTTCAAGTCAACACTGGAGCGACTGTGTTATTCTGAAATAATCATGTTAAGGAAGCCAAAACAACCTTGGCAGCAACTCGAACAAGCATTTGGGTTAATATCAATCAGCACGTGCTGTTACTTCCAAATGTCATGATCAAGATGAAGCTGTGCTGTGAAAGTGTTTCCCTAATTACTATCTTCTATTCACACCTCTCTCTGACTCATTATCCATCAGATCATACTTGACTTTAATCACAAGGATGCGGGCTGTTGAGTTTCTTTTTGTCGGAGAACCATTCATTCACTGAATGATTCATGCCAAGTCACAGTTAGCAATGTAAAATACCAACTTCCATTTTCCCATCTGGAAAAAGCAGAAGGAGCACAAAGAGGATGACTACTATAAATTGCAATTCTGAATATGAGATGAATCCACTTTGTTTCCAACTATATGGTTAGAAGGCACAAAGAAATATTGAGGTATATTTATGGGCAGAGCCTTATGTACGGCTGAAAACGTGTGCTGCACGTTGCTTCCCATTGGAAAAGCGTGCACTGTAGCTACAGAGCTGATGGGTCTGGGAAACTGAAGGTGTTTGTGTTTAATTCAGTTAGGATATACCTCTCACAATGTCACACCCATTTCACTATATGTTTAACAGACAAGGCAAGTTTCTATGTGGAGTAGGTATCGTTCTAGTAAAGGAGCAATAAGTTCCATTTCATCATCAAATTTCCCCTCATTCTAGTAAAAGGAGCAGTAAGTTCCATTTCATCATCAAATTTCCCATCCTGACAGTCCAACAAGAACTACAGCCAAATAAAATAAAAAATAACTAAATAAAAGAACAAGACAAAGTTTCATGATAGATGCTCATACCCCAGTTTTTCCAGGATGCTCCTTGGAGATGTAAAAACTGTAATTATTTCACTACCCTACAAATTGGACCCCATGAGGATACAGTTAAGGATCCTCCAGGTTCTTCACACACTCTCTACACTTCAAATGTCACCTGGACAAAATATTCCTGTAGTCTCTCTCCAACAGGCAGCGGGGGGTGTTTGCAAGACTGTTTGCACTCTATGTTATACAACAGAGTGTGCACATTCATTCATTCATTTTCCACCGCTTAGTCCCTAGAGTGTGCACAAATTCTTTTAAATTAAACATGCACAGAAGAGCAAAAAGGCTGCTGTGACATTAATCCTCTGCGTTCAGTAGGTCAACAGAATTATGCAAAATGGAGGAATGACTAAAAGCAGAATCACACCTGGCACAAACGTCTACACAAACACTGTTTAAAAAAAAACAAATCTGCCAGACTACAGTGTCTTATTATTTGTGCACATCTCCTATCAAAGTGTCACTGCAAAATGTGAGGAGACAAGGTGTCAGAGACTCCAGCTATTGCAGTACTACTCTCGTGTCTGAACACGCCAAGAACTACAGTTTGTCCTGCTTCACAAAGTAGATTTCTGTTGTTCCAGAGCAGGTCATAATTAATCTCTAGTGTACTAACAAGGAGAAGCCAGCTACTACAAACAGACTTCGTTGTGCTACTCCTGCAGATCCTCTCAGCAAAAGGTATGAGAATGCTTTACACTCTCAGCAGGTTAAACTGTACCAGTGGAGGAAACTGACTTCATCTGCTAACACTAGTCAAAGCATGTGTTCAAACCGCTCCCACCCTGTGCTGACAATCATTGCTGGGTCCCCTTGTCCTCTCACCTTGCTGCAGCAGTAGCAATAATCACCCTATAATGAGTTATGAGGACGGAATAAAAACTTAGGGGGTAAAAGGCTACACACCAAATTCTCCCTGGTGAATATAAACTTGGGGAGCAGGCACTGACCATCCCACCCCCACCAGTATTCCCCTTAGTTAGGATCAGGCGTTGCTGCACTGGCCAAATGACAATTTTGAGCTTCCAACAGCCCGAGTCCCTGGCATGCTTTGAGGTCCCCTGAACCACCCCCACACAGACACAGCCCCTATGACTGCCTGCATTACTCTAGTCTACACAGTATTAAATGGTGGCATTACACTTTAATCCCAGCAGGTGTGCACTCGCCTCCGCTGAGATCATCCACGCCAGTCTGCTCGATTTACAAGCAAACACTGTTAGGACTTTGTGGAACTTCGAAACTTAACTGTCTTATTATTACTAGGCCTGTGCGCTCATCCCTCAAACCCACTCTGTGTGCGCACAAGGTTTTTAACGCGCACCGCTGGTTACTCACATATCCAGAGGCACTTAACCAATAGGTCAATTCAAGACGTTACAAGAAATGTTTTGTTATATGTGAGCAGTATTCTGGATGTGGGATGAGGCAGCCTAACATCCAGTCACAGTGATGGGGGAAAAATCTTTACTTACCAAATTCAGCACCGTCTCAACAATATCCCGGTTGCTAACCTCTCCGACCTGGATCAGTCCGATGAGAACAGCAAATTTCATTTTGATATTCCGGATTGGAACCGACGGATTGATAATCCCTGCCGGGAGGAGCACTGAGCCTGAGCAGGACATTATGGGTGTCTCAGCGGAGACTGCAGCCGCGTGGTACCCGTGACCTGCAGGAGGTTGACGGTCCGAGAGCGACAACGAGCCCGGCATTGTCACCGGTCTCTCGCTTGTCATTTCCACCCAACCAGGCTTCAGAGACTGGTTGCACGCTTTCTCCTTGGAATTTTTTATTCACTGCGCTGGAGAATTAAGAAAAAATGTTCACACTGACGAAACCCCGAGAAACACAAACAAGAAATCGCTCTCTGTCAGTAAAATCCACTCTCCAGAGTTGCGGTAAGTGCGTCCAGCGTGTTGCCACAGCCTGCAGGTTGACTGACCTGCACTGTGCACACAAAGCTGTGTGTTTGAGTGTATGCCGCTCTCTTGAATGCGCGTCCCCGTGTCTGTGTTGTCACCGCCATGTTGCCGCCCCCTGCCTGCGGTTCCGCTCACCACGCCTGCGCTGGCTGCGGTGATGACGCTCGAACTGGACACCGAGCACAGACAGGTTGTTCCGCAGCCTAAGTGAAAGCTCTACCATGTGTTTCATAAAGTTTATCTGTTAGTTATACAGTAAACCATTCCACTTATGTTTTATCAGCTTACACTCCAACGAAAACCACCTCATATTCTTAACTGGCTGAATATACTGCACAAAAACACAAGAACTTACCTGGAGTAGTTTCCACACCAGTGCTACAAAAGTCTTATCAGTTAAGCATAAACTAAACAAAAGCAAGACCAGCCTAAAGTCAGAGGAGGATAAAACAACTGTCAATATTTGGAAAACAAAACTTGGCTCGATTCCATATTATAGGCTACTAATAATAATGTTTGTCTGGCAAATATACAGGAGTTAAAAAGGAAAAGCAAAGCAAAACAATCTTTATTTATATAGCACCTGTCTAAATAAACGATACAAAGTGCTTTATAGAATTAAAAACAAAGAAACAAATGTACTATACAGAATAGGGAGGTAAGCGAGAGCAGACATCTTTACTGCTCCTCTTGTCTGTTCTACGATTTTTCACATCTTCTACATTTTCAAGTCTTTGAACAAATTCTACAACTATTAAAATGCCTCCAAGAGGGAAAAGAGCTAATAAATCAGAAGCGAACGAGGATGTTGAGGCAGAAGAGGATTATATTTCAGCGGTGCAAGTAACAGAGATGTTGAGTCAGCAGAAGCAGATGTACACCGCACTGTTGAGCCAACAACAAGACAACTTCAAAGGTTTTGTGCAACTACTTATGGAGACAAATAACAAGAGACTCGACAACATGACCAGAGAAATACAGGAGATAAAAACAAGTTTGCAGTTTACCAAGCGAGATGTGGATGTGATTAAAGCAGCCATGGGTGAACAGAAAATACAAACCAAGGAAACAAGGGATGATGTCTACAAAACTTGTGAGAGTCTAATAGCCATAATGGATAAAATGGAGCATTTGGAAGTACAGTCCAAGCGAAAAAACCTGATCTTCGAGGGAATCGAGGAGTCAGCTGGAGAAAGCTGGACGGAAGCGGAATGTAAGGTGAAGGAAATATTAAAGGATAAACTGCAAATTCATCAAGAAATTGAGATAGAGCGGGCTCACAGAGTCGGGAAACCTTCTGATCGGGGACCGAGGGCGGTGATGGTAAAGTTGATGAAAGAGAAAGATAAGGCACACATACTGCAACAAGCAAAGAAGCTTAAAGGATCTAATATTTATATAAATGAAGATCATACCGAGTCTGTGAGGAAGAGAAGAAGGGAGTTGATACCGATGTTAAGGGAGGCCAGGGCGAGGGGAGACATCGCGTTCCTGCGGTATGACCGACTAGTGACCCGTCCTCGGAACCA